AGACTGTACATGGTATATGTAGTATACAGACTGTACATGGTATATGTAGTATACAGACTGTACATGGTATATGTAGTATACAGACTGTACATGGTATATGTAGTATACAGACTGTACATATTATATGTAGTATACAGACTGTACATATATGTAGTATACAGATACATGGTATATGTACATGGACTATATAGTGGTATATGTAGTATACAGACTGTACATATATATGTATTATACAGACTGTACATATATATGTAGTATACAGACTGTACACATGTACTATACAGACTGTACATGGTATATGTAGTATACAGACTGTACATGGTATATATAGTATACAGTATATGTAGTATACAGACTGTACATGGTATATGTAGTATACAGACTATTACATATATGTGTATACAGACTGTACATGGTATATGTAGTATACAGACTGTACATGGTATATGTAGTATACAGACTGTACATTATATGTAGTATACAGACTGTACATGGTATATATGTAGTATACAGACTGTACATGGTATATGTAGTATACAGACTACATGGCATATGGTATATGTATATACAGACTGTACATGGTATATGTAGTATACAGACTGTACATATATGTATGTAGTATACAGACTGTACATATATATGTAGTATACAGACTGTACATGGTATATGTAGTATACAGACTGTACATGGTATATGTAGTATACAGACTGTACATGGTATATGTAGTATACAGACTGTACATGGTATATGTAGTATACAGACTGTACATGGTATATGTAGTATACAGACTGTACATATATGTAATATACAGACTGTACATGGTATATGTAGTATACAGACTGTACATGGTATATGTAGTATACAGACTGTACATGGTATATGTAGTATACAGACTGTACATGGTATATGTAGTATACAGACTGTACATAGTATACATATATGTAGTATACAGACTGTACATGGTATATGTAGTATACAGACTGTACATGGTATATGTAGTATACAGACTGTACATGGTATATGTAGTATACAGACTGTACTACATGGTATATGTAGTTTATACAGACTGTACATGGTATATGCTGTGTAGTATACAGACTGTACATGGTATATGTAGTAGACTGTACAGACTGTATATGTAAGTATACAGACTGTACATGTGTATATGTATATACAGACTGTACATGGTATATGTAGTATACAGACTGTACATGGTATATGTAGTATACAGACTGTACATGGTATATGTAGTATACAGACTGTACATATATATGTAATATACAGACTGTACATGGTATATGTAGTATATACAGACTGTACATGGTATATGTAGTATACAGTACTGTTACATGTGGTATATATGTAGTATACAGACTGTACATGGTATATGTAGTATACAGACTGTACATGGTATATGTCATGTATACAGACTGTACATGGTATATGTAGTATACAGACTACATGGTATAGTGTGGTGATATGTATATGTAGTATACAGACTGTACATGGTATATGTAGTATACAGACTGTACATGGTATATATGTAGTATACAGACTGTACATGGTATATATACAGACTATACGGATATATGTACAGACTATTACATGGTATGTAGTATACAGACTGTACATGGTATATATGTAGTATACAGACTGTACATGGTATATGTAGTATACAGACTGTACATGGTATATGTGGTATACAGACTGTACATGGTATATGTAGTATACAGACTGTACATGGTATATGTAGTATACAGACTGTACATATATGTATATGTAGTATACTGTACATGGTATATGTATATATACAGACTGTACATGGTATATGTAGTATACAGACTGTACATATATATATATAGTATACATACTAGTATACATGACTGATACATATATGTAGTATACAGACTGTACATATTGTATATGTAGTATACAGACTGTACATGGTATATGTAGTATACAGACTGTACATGGTATATGTAGTATACAGACTGTACATGGTATATGTGTATACAGACTACGGACTGTACATGGCATATGTAGTATATTACATGGTACATATATATAGTATACAGACTGTACAGTATACATGTATATGTAGTATACATATGTAGTATGGATATGTAGTATACAGACTGTACATGGTATATGTGGTATACAGACTGTACATGGTATATGTAGTATACAGACTGTACATGGTATATATGGTATACAGACTGTACATGGTATATACATGGTATATGGTATATACAGGTAGAGAGTACATACATGGTATATATGTAGTAATGTATACAGGACTGTACATGTATACAGACTGTATATGGTATATGTAATTATATATGTATACTGTATGTATACAGACTGTACATGGTATAATGTAATATGGTATACAAGGTGTATCGTATATATGTAGTATACAGACTGTACATGACTATACATATATATGTATACTGACTGTGTATACAGACTGTACATGGTATATGTAGTATACATATGTACATGGTATATGTAGTATACAGACTGTACATGGTATATTATGGTATATGTAGTATACAGACTGTACATGTATGTAATATGGTATATGTATGTATACAGACTGACTGTACACTGTATATGTACTATACAGACTGTATATGTAGTATATAGTACTGTACATATTATATGGTATACAGACTGTATATTATATATGTAGTATGGTATATGTATATGTAGTATACAGACTGTACATGGTATATGTAGTATACAGACTGTACATGGTATATGTAGTATACAGACTGTACATGGTATATGTAGTATAGTATGTACATTGTACAGATATGTAGTATATATATATATGTATATGTATACAGACTGTACATGGTATATGTAGTATACAGACTGTACATGGTATATGTAGTATACAGACTGTACATGGTATATGTAGTATACACACTGTACATGGTATATGTAGTATACAGACTGTACATGGTATATGTAGTATACAGACTGTACATGGTATATGTAGTATACAGACTGTACATATATGTACTATACAGACTGTACATGGTATATGTAGTATACGGACTGTACATGGTATATGTAGTATACAGACACTGTACATGGTATATGTAGTATACAGACTGTACATGGTATATGTAGTATACAGACTGTACATATATGTAGTATACAGACTGTACATGGTATATGTAGTATACAGACTGTACATGGTATATGTAGTATACAGACTGTACACATGTAGTACACATGGTATACTGTACATGGTATATGTAGTATACAGACTATACATGGACTGTATACATGGTATATGTAGTATACAGACTGTACATGGTATATGTGTATGTACAGACTGACATGTGTATATATATGTAGTATACAGACTGTACATGGTATATGTAGTATACAGACTGTACATGGTATATGTAGTATACAGACTGTACATATATATGTAGTATACAGACTGTACATGATATATGTTATAGTATACAGACTGTACATGGTATGTATACAGAGTATACAGACTGGACATGGTATATGTAGTATACTGACTGTAAAATATATGTACTATACAGACGATATAAGGTATATGTTGTATACATACTGTACATATTACATGTAGTATACAAAGTATGACCGTGCATGGTATATGTAGTATACAGACTGTACATATTATATGTAGTATACAGACTGTACACATTATATGTAGTATAAAGACTGGACATGGTATATGTAGTATACATACTACATATTATATGTAGTATACAGACTATACATGGTATATGTAGTATACGGTCTGTACATGGTATATGTAGTATACAGACTGTACATGGTATATGTAGGATATAGACTACATATATGTACTATACAGACTGTACATGGTATATGTAGTATAGAGACTGCACATTGTATTCATGTAGTATACAGGCTGTACATGGTATATGTAGTATACACACTGTACATGGTATATGTAGTATACACACTGTACATGGAATATGTAGTATACAATATGTGTATGGCATATGTAGTATACAGACTTTACATATATGTAATATACAGACTGTACATGGTATTTGTAGTATAGAGACAGTACATTGTATATGTACTATACTGACTGTACATGGTATATGTAGTATACTGACTGTAAATATATGTACTATACAGACTGTATAAGGTATATGTTGTATACATACTGGACATATTACATGTAGTATACAATCCGTGCATAATATATGTAGTATACAGACTGTACATATTATATGTAGTATACAGACTGTACACATTATATGTAGTATAAAGACTGGACATGGTATATGTAGTATACATACTACATATTATATGTAGTATACGGACTGTACATATTATATGTAGTATACAAACTGTACGTGGTATATGTAGTATACAGACTACATATATGTATACAGACTGTACATGGTATATGTAGTATACAGAGTGTACTTGGTATATGTAGTATACAGACTGTACATGTTATATGTAATAAACAGACTGTACATGGAATATGTAGTATACAGACTGTACATATTATATGTAGTATACAGACTGTACATGGTATATGTAGTATACAGACTGTACACATTATATGTAGTATACAGATTGTACATATTACATGTAGTATACGGAGTGTACATATGATATGTAGTATACGGACTATACATATATGTAGTATACGGACTGTACATATATTATGTAGTATACAATCTGTACATATTATATGTAGTATACGGACTGTACATATTATGTGTAGTATACAGACTGTACATATTATGTGTAGTATACAGACTGTACATATTATATATAGTATACGGACTGTACATATTAAATGTAGTATACGTACTGTACGTATTATGTGTAGTATACAGACTGTACATGGTATATGTAATATACAGACTACATATATGTATACAGACTGTACATGTTATATGTTGTATACAGACTGTACAGATATGTAGTATACGGTGTCTATAATGTTATGTTATGTGTTTCAGGCAACTACACTTGGTCTTAACCCTCTATATTTCATGATTCCGTGCACACTGTCCACATCCCTCGCTTTCCTGCTGCCAGTGGCAACTCCGCCAAACGCTATTGTGTTTGCATCAGGATACTTACAAGTAAAAGATATGGTAAGACTCATTTCTAAACCATTGCATAAAATTGTGTCCCTTTTCCATGGAAAGCATGAGATGTGAATGAAACAGGTAAACAACAATTTACTATTCTTGTCAGCGAAGATAAGTACTGTAGATTATTCTTGTCACTATCCAACCAGGCAAATCTAAAGTCCCAAACGGACTCTTAATTAAGGCGTAATTTGAGCGAGACCTGAGAATTGTACAGATATGTAGAGGATCAGGCCTTCTCAGAGACCAAAAATCACAGAATAACTTAAGAATGAAACAACGTGCATATCCAAACCGTGGCAAACAGTTTTGTCTTATACCAGACAATATTCAAACACACGACGTTTCCATCCGATATTGTGTTTCTTCAAAACCCAGTCGTCTGAGTGGGGCGACCTTTGTCAGCTGATATAGTAACCCACGTGGGAAACTCACCCACGGAGTAAGTGTTCACTGGCACTCCCAAACTACCAAATTATAAACATAACGTGTCGATATTGCAGTGAACACATTCCTGTTTATGTATTATTGCTTTATTCAGATGTGTTCAGAGCGTTAACGCCACGTAATATCTGGTGAAAATGTCAGAATGAAAAATCTTCTCATGGGCATACACATTGCCATATCCGCAAGGAACAATCTTCGAACTACAATTAATAACAATCAAGGCCCACCAATTGGCGACCAAAGAAATCCAATATACCCGACAACAGTCTGCTCATATGTGTTTTACACTTCTGTGCCCTAAGTACAAACACAAAGGGTCTGGTTCATGTAAATCTGACATACAATTGATTAACATCATGTGCCATAACTTAGAGTCATAATGATTTATTTATACATAGAGTTTATACCGACACAGAATATATAGAATTACTATGCAAGCATATTTTCCCGGCTATCTGATTGGTCTAGAGGCGGTCACGTGACCGTCGACAGAAAAGCATATTGACTCCAACCCAGGTCCGACCAAAAGTCATATTGACCTGAGTTACTATGACGTCAAGCTATGACGTCATTCACGTCAAGCTATGACGTCATTCTATTGTTTACATGTCACAGTATTGTTCACATAACGTTATTGGTTTGTCGTGAAATAAAATTACTTTTCTTGACTAAATGGACATGTTTTTGATTTTAGAAGCTTTTTTTCGGTAATTACATAATAAAACAATTATAGACTGGCGAAATCGGCCAATAACTGTTTTTATGGACCCGCGAAAAGCGGTCAATATTGCTTTCCCGGGTCCATAAAAACAGGTATTGACCGATTTCGCCAGTCTATAATTGTCTATAAAAACAGGTATTGACCTCACTCGGTCAATATTGCTTTTCCCGGGTCCATAAAAGCAGGTATTGACCTCATCACCAGTCTATAGTTGTATAATATATGCGACTGATTAAATGTCGACCAGACATATAAATCTTATTTACATTCATACAACTTATTAACTTAGTACATATACTTATCATCAGGTATGTTCCATATAATCCATATTTGAACGAACACTAGAAACACTTTGGTCCGACAGTCACGATTCAACAGTCTTGTCCTCATGGAGATATCTTGGCGTCCTCCATGTATGTCTTCTGTCCAACATGGACCAATGTACGTAGTTCTAAGAACTCAAGTATTTCTGTGGTGAGCGGCGGAGACTCCACTAAGTCAACTCTGAGGGAATGTTTTCACACACCGGCGGGGAAAACAAGGTGCACATTTCTCAACTTACAGGAAACGATCGGTGACCATTCAAACCCAACTCGTCTCATTTCGGGACACACGGAATAGCGACTCTAGAAGGATTTCATGTTGACCAAGAACCACAACTCTATTTCTGTATAATTCAAACAGTAATCAACAGTACAGCACTCGCCTGTTGCTATTTATAAAGGAATTAACCATTTCTGATCCAGTAAGACGAAGAAGAGGACGAATGATAACATTGTTTGTTGAAAACCTATTCTAACAAACATTTTCTCAGTTGTTCATCTTCAAATTTCAAAATGTAATACATTTCTATATACTGGTTTAAAGTTGATGAAACATACAAATAAAATATGTCTGTTTAGAGTAAATTATAAATTATTTAACTTCTTCAAATTAAAGTACATCAAAGCTAAAAGTTACCTGTCACATACCTTCTCTATTCGCTATCTGCTGTTTTATGCGAGGCACTGAAATTGTTAAAATGTAAAGTTATGTTAATGGGATTGAGAGACAATGAATGACAATCCAGAAGCTGCCAAATGAAGAAATCCGCGGAGAAAAAGGAGCTACTAGATAAGGAAAGCCTAGCATTTCAGCCGAGAATAGAGAAGAGCAAGAGAGAAATATTATGAGCAAGAGAGAAAAATGAAAACTTTTCTTAGATAAGGGAACCCTAATCTTATCATCACCAAATAGTTACTACGTAACTATAAAGGCCACGGGCCCATATACATATTAATATACATATTCCAAACAGGTATAAAGGTGTGAACGAAAACAGGAAACAGTTTCTTAAAATGCATAGCATTTACCTGTCTTCCTGGTAGAAGATATTAGTAACATATATATGTATAGCTGGACTGACATCTTTACAATTGTAATACCTATTTGCTAGTTTTCTACTAGTTTTCTTTACTCTCATTTCGTATGCATAATAGATAAAGCGGGCTTGATAGTTAATTTCTTCAGTTTCAAACAACAAAGATATATACAAGTTATTCGTGATTTAAGGCTTTACTCCTGCGAGGAGGCACTTTTAGAAGACTTTCACGAATATGACTGACGCTCGCCATGGTACAGAGGAGAACTCTCGTTTATGTGATGTTGTTTTCATAGGATCTAAGACTCACAAAGTTACTCGGACGGAAACTAGATTCTTAAGTTGCCAATGCATGGATACAAAACACTAACATATTGGAGCCTGGCGTATTTATGAGTATTTTAATGGTGTTAGTAACGGTGCCGGAGTACATGAGAAGTTGTTATAACAGGAATCATCGATGTATTTGTAGAGCAGCAGCGTTCGTTGATATTGCCAGTCATATATTAATGATGATATTCTTTTGCAGGTTGTCGTTGGTTTTGGCATCAATGTATTTGCCTTGATTGTCGTCAACTGCGTCCTCAACGCATGGGCCGTTCCCTTCTATAAGCTGGATGTGATGCCGGAGTTTCTCATTATTAACAGAACACTTGTTCCAAATATCACGCCAAGGATGCTACTCAATCTCACACTGACTCCCTGAAGTATAATGTTATGTTTTAACCACACTGTTTCAGTTAGCGAGTAAACACCCCTTGTGTTTAAGGGGATCCAAAACAATACTCCCATAGCATCTATTCGGAAGTCGTTTTATCTCAGAAAATAATACTGTTCTTTTATCAGAAACATATCACTTAACAGTGTAAATGCGAGTTGCTGTAACCTTCTTGACCTGTTATAAATATCGACATGCTCGTACATAATAATCGTTCTCACAACTTGACAAGAGGTATTATTCGTGAAACGCCATTCGGAAATACATGAGCTACAGTTTAACATTGCATACAAAATAGGTCAGCCCCTGTAACGAGAACACAGAATGCGTGCCAAGGAAAGGTCCCCTTGAAGACGTAAAGATCGAAGTTAAACGTAATCATACTCAAGAGCTATTATCCAGGGGCCTCAAACAACGATTGTCCGGAGCTCTGTTAATGAGAAAAGAAGTAACGACGTAATTGCCAAAGTGGTGATTTTTCACAGTTTTACTATTTTTAGGTTGGATTAGTAAACGAGAGGTACACGCTATGTGTCTGAACCCAATCAGCATTGGTAATTAAGCAATGAAAGAATACGCATGTTTATTTAAGTAAATACTAGAAACGCTTTATGCGATTGCTAAACCCAAACTCTGAAAGAACGGGTTTCACAACGAACAAGATGTCTTACTGAATGTGCACAACAATAGATGTTTTAATTCGAGATGATGCTGCCACACTTTCGATATAAGCATACAATTCTTGTCCATTAGACGGTCCGACAAATTACTAAGCCCTACTAGAAGTTTCAGAGTAGTTATGAAAGTATTTGCTGTATTTGTCGATGGCCAACGATCTGCAAACAAAGTGCCTCTTTACCGCTCACTTCTTTATATTATGAGAATAACTATAACATTGCTGGTATTACTAAATGATGTAAGATAATTATAATATATTACAGTGCCAAGTAGTGGTGGACGTGTTGTAGTGGACGTCAGTCTATTTGGAGAACAGGTTCCTGTAACAAGAAAGAAATATCGACGTGTATACGTCTAACATGAAATGTATATGTATTAGTATTTGTTTGAACATCCTACACCACGACATTCCAGCTATATAGTGGCTATGGTATTAGTGACCGTATCCAGTAGAAGAGGAGACATTTTTTTATCAGTGGTCTTATCTTGGGGGTGTTTTCGTTCTGCAAAGTAGGAGTGTGTTTACCCTGTGGAGTATTGATTTCATACCAAAGACCAGTCATACATCAGTCATATATCAAAGAAAAAGTAGAAAACATTGACTAGTTTGGCCAGAGTTTATGTCTTGTCATGAAGTTTGATTTCTTTCACAGATGAAATGATCTTGTAGCGTTTCACCCGAGTAAAAAAGGTAAAAGTATCTCAGCCAGAAAGTGATTATGAGATCCTTGACCCTTTTATCGTCTGCAGGTAGGAAAAACTAATAGAAAAATATTAAATTGTCTCTTCTTAGAATGTCAGTCGTGTCATATCGCATCTTTTATATCAGCAAGGGTTCATGCGAATACCAAGTAACACCTTTGCTTGAGAATTTTTATGAAGTAGATACGCAGGTTTAAGAATAAGCTATACCCTTCTCAAGTTTAGGCAGTATTCTTTAGCATACAGGCTTTCGATAGAAGTTTCGAATGCACCAAAACACAATTTCAGAGCCTGTTGGTGAATGCTGTTAAACCAGTGTCCCTATGAATTACGAGTTGACCATCCATTGTTCAGTTAGATCCGACTGACGCTCTATAGAGACGACGAGGTGTTTCTTTATCCCAGACTCGATGAACATTTGAGACAACTTTAAGAATATCTAGTGCTTTTAAATATTTGGACAAGAATATTTGGTTCACATATGGTATTTAACAGACTGAATGCGACATGGAATTCCAAAAACCTGTCTCGTTGATGGGTGTTCTGAGCAGTAACAACGCAGCATCATTATACACAAGGCTACTTTATGACTTTCTGAGACACGTTTATACTTGTCTGTCCATAGTGTTGTAGTACCACGACGAGACATATTAAAACCATTCACAATCAAGAACTGTCATTGTTTTCATTCCCAACTTGAACAAGGTTATTGATCTTAATGCTGAACAAGGTGTATTGATACAGGCGTAAGGAACAGGGTTTGCCGAAACGTTGCTCAGACATGGGATGAACACCACGCATATCGACGAGAAAGTACTGACCTGACTGTCAAGCTTAACGCCGAGGAGGACCAGTTTTATGACGGTTGGTTGGTTGGTTCTTTAACGCCACACTTTACTCAGCAGTATTCCAGGTGGCGGTCTGCAAATAATCTAGTCTTGACCAGACAATCCAGTGATCAGCATCATGAGCATCGACTTTCGCAATTGGGATACGATGACATTTGTCCTGACCACCCGATCCCGTTAGTCGCCTCTAACGACAAGCACGGGTTACTGAAGACCAATTCTAACCCGGATCTTCTCGGGTCAGTCTTACGATGGGTTATCACGCTCTAGGTAACTGTCGGAATGTGGAAAAGACAAGGCGAAACACTACCTCCAGCATTCGTTTCCAGTTGACGTTCACCTGGCTTCATCTCATTACAATTCGCATAACCAACTGTGTAATCGGGACACAGACCTGTTAGAGACTTTCTTGCTGTTAACCGATAGCTGGACCTGGTGATTTGATATATGACATATAATTGAAGTCCGTGGAGACTATGAGACATATATTCAATTTTCCACTCATTGACCACCTAAAGAATGAATAAAAATAACACCTCTCCACCTCTAATGGACATATATTAATCCAACATACAGATGCATCGGCTTTGGATGGATGAGTGAGTGAGTTTATATAGCCTTAAATCCAGAAAGAGAAACAGTCCTGGAAGTGACGACATTGTGTGAATCGGTTGCTGATTGACAATGTATCAGCAGGTGAGTGAGTGATGTAACACCACCACCCCAACCCTAGTAATCTTAGTCATGTACAAATGCAAACATTCACTTGATTGAAAGTAATGGTAGTTCACATACAATTGTGTGGCACCAGGTCATGACATACTATGTGGATCGGCTTCCTAACCCCATCGTTTGCCAGTAGAACTCTAAACCAGACTTTTTATGGCTACGGCTCATTGTGTAACCGAATATTTCCGAACTTCCGATTGTCATGTTACTTTAGGTTAAATAAACAGATGCAGGCGTCATTGTTACTTATTGTCTAATATGGCTCTTAACAATTTTACCTACGTCTAAGATCAACAAACAAGGGCTACCAAAAGATACAAAACCCGGTAGGTAATATACAAGGCATAAGACGACAAACTAGGGGAAAATTATTTAGAAAATGAATTATGTTTTGACAGTCTGCCCTTAACCATTAGACCCACGCTCCTCGTGCACTACAGATAATTCACACCGACAATATTGTGGATTTGCCTTCTGCAGATTGAATACTATTTCTATAGTGCCAGCAGTTGTACTTGAGCAATACTGATTGGACCTTTGCATTCTGACTTGGAGTCCTAATAAACATAATAGATATGAATCTAGAAACGTCTAACGTCCTGTAACGCACGATGATTCATCATTATACGTAAACATTAATGTTGAAAATCGCCGGTGGGCAACTTTATGTTATCTACATGGGCGTCGCTGAAGCGGATAATCAGTGTCGACAAGAGATGGGTTTCCATAGATTGTAAGCGATATGTGAAAGGGTTTGCCCACATTGGTGCAATGAGTATTCAGGGTGTGTCCTTGTTTAAAAGTGTGTTTGCTCTTGTGCAGTTTTAATTCATCGACTGCTTGTAACTATTCATGATGGTAAGTTGTAATTTACACTTTATTCCGCCGTAGATTTAGAAAAACTCCCGGGTTCTCCTTCCCAGTTCATATACTGACGGGAACCTTTATCCTCTCTTGAAGTATAAAAACGCGCTTCGGAGCGTATGTTTGATAAACGTATGGTTTATCAGTTTTGTTGGTGGAGATTGATCTCCGTTTTCTATGCAAAGTTTACAGTTTTACCCTGTCGTTCTGTCCAAGAAGTCATTTTAAGTCTGTTGCAAAATCTGTTGTAAAAAGGCTCACGCAATATTTCGCATTATGTATGACTTTTATGTCACCTGAAATTTGTGCGTTGTTATTCCATACATTAGTATAACTGGTCCAACGTAATCTAACCAGATCACAGAACATTTACGCAGTAGCAGTCAGGAGTGAAAAACATACTGCTTAAAGCTGTCTTACTGCATTATCTTATTGTTTAGTGGGACGTTTGTCTATAACTCAGGACACGCGGCACACGCACCGAACTTTCCGCATATTTGCCAGGATATTTTCACCGAATGCCTAATTCAGCATGGTTATAATCCTTCGTTTGTGAATATTACAAATTGTTTTTTGTAACGTTATGTAATTTGTCATTTCGATTCATACATCATCATTTATAATCTTGTGAGTGAAGTGGAACATGATCCATACAATACTCTGTGTTCACAGAATTGAAATCGTACATCGAAACTGGCCTCGTCAGACCATTATATTAGATTTAGATTTATCTGTCATAAATAACTCACTTCGAAAGACATTCTTGAATCATTACTACAATATCCGTCTACAAACACTATATTTCTTCGTCCTACCTACTCGCTCTGACCCATTGCCATTCTAAGGCAATGAAAACGTACATAACAAATATGTTATGTGGCAAGAACACAAGACATCCCTCATGTTCAGCAGCAGGGTCGTGGCAAGCACTCCCTATTAAGACTAACTGAGAATATGTTAATACATACTAGTTTATACAGGTCATGATGGAATTGTATGAATCTTCGTAAACATGCATTACCAGGAACATGAGTCCAGGATAAAGGGATAAACAAGATATGTTTATTTTATGAAAGTCATATGTGATAAGACTTGCACCAAACCGTCAATGTACTCGTGATGTATTATATTTGTAAAATGTTGGGTAATACGGATATACATGAAAGTAGTCGATATGTTCTTATTCTGTCCTGCCATTCTACGTCAAGATAATGGCATTAATTTCTTTTTTGAAATGTTTAAACAAAGTTAACAACAGATTAAAATCCTTATATTTGAATATTTTCAACAGGTACAATTTTCCTAGTTTGATGACAACACATGGTTGATCAATTCGAAATGAAAAAGACATTCCATAGTTGATTGAAGAGTAAGTGAGTGAG